GCTCCCAATACTTCTGTTAGTCTTAAAGGTGCCACAGGACCCTCTGTTGCTTTTTACAGATTCAGACTAACACGGCTACCCCTCTGATACTTGACCCATTTTGGAAGGTTCACTTGAAGAGGTGAGTGAGGTTGCACCCTCTCCTTGGGGTGAAGTACTCAAGGCAGGGAGAGAAGAAGCAGCAAGTGGAGCCTTCCAATGAATAATAGCAAGGATGAGCAAAAGGCAGTCACAGAAACCGAAAGAGCAGGAGCATCTAGGGGCCATGAGTGAGAACTGCAACAACAAAAAACCCTCATTGGGACTATTCACATGTGTAAAGTTAAGCACACGTGTAAGAGTTTGCAGGATCAGGGCCTATGAGTCCACATGAACATGTATCTGAGTGTATTGAGGCATTCATTGTGTATGTTTCCTTTTGTTTTTGTCTTTCAGGGTGTTTTAAAAACTATGGCAGCTAACACAGGATATGACCTGGACACTCTCAAACAACTGAATAAGTTCAAAGCCTGGAATACATACGATACTCTGCTTTGTGAGGTATTTAAAAGAGAAAGCGAGAGGGAGACTAATCCAGAAGATCTGATTCAGCTAAACACAGCAATTTGGTTTCAACCAAACACAGTAATGACGGATCTTCTGTTCTGTCCTGAGCTTGGTTTCTTTTCAGCACCATTTGAAGAATGGTGAATGATAATGAAGCATAATTTAGTGCATTAGAAAAGGACATTCTCAAAGCATAGTTTACAATTTAGAAAACTAATCTTCATTCATCCCTGTTATTTATCATCCCTTTAAAACAGGACACTAAAATCCTTCTCCTCATATTATTTCCCTTTCTGTACAACCCAGTGAGTTACTGTAGTTACTCAACCATGCTGAGAAGCTCATCATGATTTTTTCTAATAGAAAAAAAGTATTTTCTTTAGAACAACTCCTTGTAACTATAGAAATACTTAGCTGGAAGCTGAAAATAAGCGGTAGCAGCATTGTCTAGTGGTTAGAACAGGGAACTGGGAGTCAGGAAATGAGAGTTCCCCACTATGAACTAGATTATGCCTTGCAGATCCAGTGGTAGAGAAGGGGCAGGAGTGAGTTGGCCAGGCGGGACATACCAAACCCGCACACTAGCAGAAACCAAGATGGAAAGCAACTGCAGTAAGAGAAAGAATTACATTTCCATTGGGGCCCCAATGGAACCTCCCTAAAAGGGTGTTCTGGGGGAGATGCCAGGAAATGAAGCCACACGATGAAGGAACTGGGAGAAAGCCACAGGGAGTCCAAAGGCAACAGTGTAAGGGTGGGCTGGGGGAAAAGAAAATGAATGGGAGAAAAATAATGTTCATTTTCCTTTTTTACTATAGAGTATTCACAATTATACTCTCCCTAAATGGGCTTCCCCGGATATAATGAAGAAGATGAAGGAGCTGGCAGCATTGTCCTTACAGTCAGTCTTTGGGATATACAAAACAAAAGACAAATCACGACTACAGGGAGGTAAATAAAATATTACACAGCACTGAAAAGGGAGGAGCTGATACTATATGACAAATCAAGTCTCCTTACTCATGCAAAGCTCCTTGTTAAAATGGCACTACAATGTGTTTCTAAATATACCTGGACACAGTAATAAACACTTAAAAATGTATTTTGAACACTGGTATTTGCATGATCCCTGGGATGTCCTAAATGTACATTTCCTGAATGTAGAAATGCCTTTAGTTACCCTAGTCCAAATTTAAGAGATGGTTGCAGAAATCCTAGGATAAGATTCAAGGCCATTCTGACCTGAGCTTGACAGAATCATAGGACTGGAAGGAACCTTGAGAGGTCATCTAATCCAGTCCCTCTGCCTCATGGCAGGACTAAGTATTATCTAGACCATCCCTGACAGCTGTTTGTCTAAACGGCTCTTAAAAATCTCCAATGATGGAGATTCCACAACCTTCCTAGACAATTTATTCCAGTGTTTAACCAACCTGACAGTTAGGAAGTTTTTTCCTGATGTCCAACCTAAACCTCCCTTGATGCAATTTAAGCCCATTGCTTCTTCTCATATACTCAGAGGTTAAGAAAAACATTTTTTCCCTCCTCCTTGTAACCACCTTTTACGTACTTGAAAATTGTTATGTCCCCCCTCAGTCTTCTCTTTTCCAAACTAAACAAACCCAATTTTTTCAATCTTCCCTCATAGGTCATGTTTTCTAGACCTTTAATCATTTTTGTCACTCTTCTCTTGACTTTCTCCAATTTGTCCACATCTTTGCTGAAATTTGACGCTCAGAACTGGACACAATACGCCAGTTGAGACCTAATCAGCACAGAGCAGAAGAATTACTTCTCGTGTCTTGCTTACAACACTCCTGCTAATTCATCCCAGAATGATATTCACTTTTTTTGCAACAGGGTTGTTGACTCATATTTAGCTTCTGATCCACTATGACCCCCAGATCCTTTTCCACAGTACTCCTTCCTCGGCAGTCATTTCCCATTTTTTATGCGTGTAACTGATTGTTCCTTCCTAAGTGGAGTACTTTGCATTTGTCGTTATTGAATTTCATCCTATTTACTTCAGACCATTTCTCCAGTTTGTCCAGATCATTTTTAATTTTAATCCTATCCTCCAAAACACTTGCAACCCCTCCCAGCTTGGTATCATCCGCAAACGTTATAAGTGTACTCTCTATGCCATTATCTAAATCATTGATGAAGATATTGAACAGAACCAGACCCAGAACTGATCCCTGTGGGACCCCACTTGTTATGCCCTTCCAGCATGACTGTGAACCACTGATAACTACTCTCTGGGAACGGTTTTCAAACCAGTTTTTCACCCACCTTATAGTAGCTCCATCAAGGTTGCATTTCCCTAGTTTGTTTATGAGAAGGTCATGCGAGACAGTATCAAAAGCTTTACTGAAGTCAAGGTATACCATGTCTACCACTTTCCCCCCATCCACAAGGCTTGTTACTCTGTCAAAGAAAGCTATCAGGTTGGTTTGACAGCATTTGTTCTTGACAAATCCATGCTGATTGTTACTGATCACCTTATTATCTTCTAGATGTTTGCAATTTGATAGCTTAATTATTTGCTCCATTATCTTTCAGGGTACAGAAGTTAAGCTGACTGGTCTTTAATTCCCCAGGTTCTCCTTATTTCCCTTTTTATAGATTGGCACTACATTTGCCCTTTTCCAGTCTTCTGGAATCTCTGCCATCTTCCATCATTTTTCAAAGATAATTGCTAATGGCTCCGATATCTCCTCAGTCAGCTCCTTGAGTATTCTAGGATGCATTTCATCAGGCCCTGGTGACTTGAAGACATCTAATTTGTCTAATTTTTAACTTGCTCTTTCCCTATTTTAGCCTCTTCTGATCCTACCTCATTTTTCACTGGTATTCACCATGTTAGACATCCAATCACCACCAACCTTCTCGGTGAAAACTGAAACAAAGTCGTCATTAAGCACCTTTGCCATTTCCACATTTTCTGTTATTTTCCCTCTCTCATTGAGTAATGGGCCAACACTGTCCTTGGTCTTCCTCTTGCTTCTAATGTATTTGTAGAATGTTTTCTTGTTACCTTTTATGTCTCTAGCTAGTTTGATCTCGTTTTGTGCTTTGGCCTTTCTAATTTTGTCCCTACATACTTGTGTTATTTGTTTATATTCATCCTCTGTAATTTGACCTAGTTTTCACTTTTTGTAGGACTCTTTTTTGATTTTTAGATCATTGAAGATCTCCTGGGTAAGCCAGGGTAGTCTTTTGCCATACTTCCTATCTTTCCTACACAGTGGGATAGTTTTCTCTGGTGTCCTTAATGGTGTCTCTTTAAAAAACTGCCAACTATCTTCTATTGTTTTTCCTCTTAGACTTTCTTCCCATGGGATCTTACCTACCAACTCCCTGAGTTTGCTAAATTCGGCCTTCTTGAAATCCATTGTCTTTATTTTGCTGTTCTCCCTCCTACCATTCCTTAGAATCTGAACTCTATCATTTCATGATCACTTTCACCCAAGCTGCCTTCCACTTTCAAATTCTCAACCAGTTCCTCCCTATTTGTCAAAATCACATCTGGAACAGCCTTTCCCCTAGTAGCTTTCTCCACCATCTGAAATAAATAATTGTGTCCAATACATTCCAAGAATTTATTGGATAATCTGTGTCCTGCTGTGTTATTTTCCCAACAAATGTCTGAGTAATTGAAATCCCACATCACCACCAAATTCTGTGCTTTGGATTATTTTGTTAGTTGTTTAAAAAAGCCTCATCCACCTCTTCTTCCTGGTTAGGTGGTCTGTAGTAGACCCCTACCATGCCATCACCTTGTTTTTTACCCCTTTTATACTTACTCAGAGACTTTCAACAAGTCTGTCTCCTATTTCCAGCTCAACCTCTGTCCAAGTGTATACTTTTTTAATATATAAGGTAGCACCTTTTCCCTTTTTTCCCCTGCCTGTCCTTCCTGAGCAAGCTGTACCCTTTTATACCAACATTCCAATCATGTGTATTAGCCCACCAGGTTTCTGTGATGCCAGCTATGTCATAGTTGTATTTATTTACTAGTATTTAAATGAATGACAGCAGCCTAGACCAGGTTTAGGTTCTATTTGTCCAACATTAAATCTAATTGTTTATTGAGCTTTGATTTGTTTTCTCTCATTTAATGTTAACCTTGGAAACACCTTCATGGTGACCTCATTGAGGCCCAGATATAAACCTGCCCCCAAGCAGCTCTGGGCACAGCTGATGATAGGGGATTCAGAGTCCTTGGTAGCCCTCTCATCTTGGGTCTGGTTCTACATTGGTTCCCACCATAGAGTAAATTAGAAGAGCCTCAAGCCAGCTCTAAACTCCACTGCCTGACAGCTGGCCCCCAGGGCTCTAGCAGGCAGGGATTGACAAACTGCAGGGACACCTCAGCCACATCCCTTCTCCCTGGCCAAGCCCCTATGCTGGGAGCAGGAAAGGGAATGGTGTAGGTGCCACTAGAAGGATTCCTCCATTGGCTGGTTCTGCTGGCTTTAGGACACTTTTGTTCTGGAAGAACAGCCCAAAAGTGCCCTAGGCTAAAAAGACTCAAGAACCAAGCCTTGAGGGAAAAGGCAACAGTCAGAACTTATGGCAAGTGAATGGTTGAAATATTTCTCTTACACGCAGATGTTAATAGAAGGAAATGTCATCGAGGAGAAGGCAGCGCAGCCTAACTTAAGGGGCAGGTCTTGTAACCCTGATTCTCAGCGTATTCTAACCTAGGTTCTAATGCTCCTGTTTCTCAAACTACCCTGGGTTAAACATATTTTTTTTCATTTCTGTAACGTCCACTGTCAAGCTCTAAATTCCATGTGAACTAAAAATGAATTACAGATCTTCCTGTTTAATACCTGGGATCTTTGTGTTTGGGCTTCCAGCTGAATACACTTTATTCATCAACATCCTCATTGCTCTTCTCCATCTTCTTTAAGGTGTCCTGGTGAATGCTATTCTAAAAAGCATCAAAAACGCAACTCAACCGTCAAACAAGAGAAAAATTCTGATCTTTTCTGCAGTGAGTAACTTTATTTTTCCTAAATGTTGGATTGATATGTTTACTAGTGGGAATTCAACAGAATGGGCTTCATCTGACTTGTACTAGGAGCACATGCAGGGGAGAAATTATAAGCAATGTTACCAATGTATTTTGATGCAACAACTTTCCAGTGTTAAAAGAAAAAGGTTACATTCCTGCTACAAGATAAGAAAAGCAATGATATGATACAATTGGACTCAACACACTGAATGGAATTTTGTATTTTTGCAACATGTGCAACAAACAAAAACATAGGATTTACTCCTCATCTTCAGCCAACCTGTGCTTGGCAAAGGCAGCTTTACTCTCCACTAATCCCAATTCTAAGACTTGGCCCCCAGTGCAACATAGAGCAACGTCAGGGCTTCTCTAAGAGGTATCCTGATGCAACAAACCACCAAGGTGTTGTTCTACTAGCAGGAGATCACTGGAATATAGCAGCACTTCAACCACATCTCCCACACGTAATCTATAGTTCTGCTGGCTATGCCAGTTATCTGCCACCTGGAGATTCCCCTAGCTTAAGCCATCTTTACAGCCACTTTGTGCTGCTGGCTTGGTGCAAACGGGCTGTATGAGATCTATATTTTTCATTTTAACATATTGTAACCAAATTCATGCTTGGTGTAACTCAATTTATTTATCTGTTGCAATTTATAAAGTATCTATGGTTCTAGACCCTGTATAGTGATTAAAATACAACAATTATAGTGGTATATAAACAAGCCCAGTAAACATACAAACAAGAGAGATACTCTAGGGAAAGATTTGGATTCCTTCCTCCCCCCTTCAACACCCTGCCATGGGTTTTCCTGCAAAAGGGCAATGGGTTTTTCAAAAATAAAAAACAAAGATTATAACTGGGGTTTTACTTTAATATCCCTTCCTATAACTAAAAAAGGTTGTTGGAAGTAGGGGCAGCAAAACCCCACTTAAAAGCAACTACTGTATTACATGTGAGCATTATTTTTCTTTTTTATAGCATGACACCACAATTGGTGCCCTTCAGATGGCGCTCAATATTTTCAATGGAAAACTGCCATCGTATAGTGCTTGCCAGTTTTTTGAACTCTACCAAGAAAACAGTGGGCAAGTATCTTGACACATCTGCAGCAAGCAAATGTGTTTTGCTTTCAGATACCAATTCATTAATGCCTTAGATTATTTTTGAGAGAAAAGCATCCTCATGAAATATAATTATATTTTAAATGAATTTTACTGAGCAGTCCTATTCACAATGTTGCATTAAATGCATTCAAAACTAATAATTGACTGAAATATGAGAGAGAGAGAGAGAGAGAGAGAGAGAAAACACACACTTAAGTTTTGTGGTGGGAATTAAGTGAATGGATAAATGTGACTGCTTCCCTAAATGGTAGCGGTAGTTTTCAAGCTACCCCTTAAAGCTTATCACAGTCAAACATAGGGTCTGGTTCTGTTTTCATTTAATTAAATATTTCAAAAGAGCTTGCTGACATGACCTGTGACTTTAGCAGTGACATGACTGTTCTAAGGAGCACTGAGCTTTGGGTGTCTTTGCCAAGGTCTCTATTCCTGAAGAATTTGTTCTACAATAATTTCCATTAACAAAGGCTGTGTCTCTGAAGAGGAAATCTCAGATATAAAGATCTAATCTTTCTTTTTCTTCCGGGCGCTGCATATCAGGCACCACAGCATTGAAATGTACTTTCGGAATGACTCCTTGATGGATCCTTATCCACTCAGGCTGCCAGGCTGCACGCATCCTTGTCCACTTGAGAAGTTTGCTAAGTTGGTCTCTCCTATCATAGTGGAAGACTGGTCAAAAGAATGTGGAAAGTGTCAGGTGAGGGATTCCCAGAGTTGAGGAAGCAGATCCCAGCCACACACCTTTGCACAAACACCAATCCCCTGCCCCCTAGGGGGTCAGAGTTCATGTCTGGATCAAGCACTATGCTTAACAACAGAACAACACTTATCTAACCCAGGCAAAGCCAGGAGTAGACCCAAGGCAAGATGTCTGGTTAGAGATAACAGACCTCCTCACCTCGATACAGCACAGAGCCCCTGTCCCCATATCTGGCTAAACACACACAGACTCTGCCCCACGCCCATGCAACCCCCACTCCCAGTCAGTACAACCTCTCTGCATGCTGGTGCTGGTCTGCGTTGTGAGCTCAAACGGGTGGGTGTTGCTGTGTGGTCTCAGCTGACCTGTCAGCTCCAGGCTGTGTCTGTAAGAGTCCCCCTGTGCAAGCACCAGTGCAGCTGTACTGACTGTCCTCCAAGCAGCTCCCTAGTTCAGACTCTGTCTCTGCCCCAATTCAGGCTTGCTGCTTCTGCTGCTCTTTCTCTGTTCTCTCCGCAAATCTTCCCCGGCTGATTTCTCCCCATCCCCCCACCATCAACTCATTTGTTTAAGTCCTCCTAGGTAGTGTCCTTGTTTTGGAGTGGCATCCCCCTCCCCACCCCCCAAGCCACACAGGTTTGTGCAGAGTAGCAGGGAAGGGGGAAAGAGGGGATAAAGGAAGGGGAAAGGGGTCTTTACCCAGTCCCACACCAGTCACCACATAAACACACCTGTCCCCAGGTACCAGGCATGCCCCATGGCTTGGCCACCCTCGGCATTACTGTATCAGTTGGGTAGGAGGTTGAACCTCTCATTCAATCTTTGAGAATGTCAGAGCGTCACAATACTCCCACCTCCCTGTTCTGCTCCTCGCATGTGATGGGGCCAGATTTGGGTGCCTCTTCCATAGGTGCTGAAACTAGGGGTGCTTGAAGTAGTAAATAAGTCAAATACATGGTGCCTTCAGCAGCCCCACTGTAAAAATTGTTCCAGCACCACTGGGCTCTTCCCTGGGACACCCAATCTAATTCTACTTTCCCCTGCCTCAGAGCCAGGAGAAGGGTTGGGTGCTTCCACTGGGGATCCCCCCATGTGAGCCACCCTACTAATGGGAACACAGTGACTCCTTCCATCCCTGCCTCTTGGCTACTAGGACTAAGATCTGCTCCCCCTACTCTGTTTGGTGGCTTGGGCTAAAAGTGTCAAGGCCTAAGCATATTCCAGTGGACCACCTTCTCCAGTCTCTCTGCAGACTGCTTGGATCTTCTATACTGGGGCCATTTGGAGTATGGGATCCCACAGATGATGCACAGTTTGAGGCACGAGGCTGCATCCAGTTTGGAGAGCCTCTGCCGCTTGAACAGGACCTGACAATGGTCTGGCAGCAACGTGTTTGTTACAGCTCCATTTCTGTCAGTTTCAAGCTTGGTCCAGGTTAGTGGCTACAAGCCAACCTGCCTCACGGGGGTGTTGGTGATGCTCATTCTGGGGCCCCTGGTTGGATGCCCAAGGTCATGTGTATTGGCAGCTGCCCATTCCTGCCGACCATCAGGAAGTAGGGAGGGTACTCCATGGATGGGTGCAGCATATTGTTATACAGATAGGTCAGCTCTGGCAGGCAGGAAGTCCAGTGTCTCCGCCACATCCCTGCTAGGAGCATCCAGTTGACTCACTCACAGAGGCCCCTGCCTTGTTGGGGGTAGGCTGTTGTCCTTAGCTTGTGGCTGCCATATAGGAAGCACAATTTCTTGAACATCTGTGATTCAAAGGGTATGCCTTGCTCTGTGAGCAGCTTAGTGAGGTAGCCATAGGGCTGGACAAAGTAGCACCAGAAAGCTTCTGCGGTTGCTCTGGCCATGATCTCTCTGAGGGGTGCGGCAACCAGAAATTTGGTGCAGTGATCCACCATAGTCAGGGTGTAGGATGCACCGCTCTAGCTTGGCTCTACTTTCAAGTGGTCCGATGCTACCAACGCCAAGGGCACAATGGCCTCTGTCCCCCATTCCAGGGTTCCTTCTGCTGGTGCAGACCCAACCTGCCTGTTCATTAGGTGCTGGCATGCACTGTGAGCACAAACTGGTGGGCCTTGCTGGGTGGTCTTAGCTGTCCTGTTGGCGCCAGTAAGAATTCCCTTTTGAAAGCACCAGTGCAGCAGCTGGCTCTCCTCCAAGCAGCTTCCTGGTTCAGACTCGGTCTCTGCCCCAGCTCAGGGCTGCTGCTGCTTCTGCTCTTTCTTTGTTCTCTCTCCAAATCTTATTCCCTTCCCTAACCTCCATTGATTTCAACCTTTCCAAGTGGTCTGTAGTTAATTCTGTGTCCTTGTTTTGGAGTGGCACTCCCCACCTCCAGCCAATCAGTTTTGTGCAGAGTCGTGGGGGTTGGGGGGAGTGGAAGAGGCTCTTTACCCAAGCCCACAAAAGAGAAACAAAACGAAAGGCAATGTAATAGTATTGTGTATTGTCTGCACATAGCATTTAAGCAGTAACTGCAGGAATGGCTTCAAACTTTCTATGTGCCATGATTCTTTAGAATAGTAGACTGACCTTCAACTAAAGGCTATGGGCCACATTCATCACTGATGGGGAAGGGAGATATAAATTACATTACCATGTGCAAGTGAGCTCCCTTGCATGCAAAGGGGAAATTCACCCAAAAGGAGTGAAGGCAGTGTTACTCCCAGCACTTTTCTCCAGTGTTTCTGATATAGGGCAGCAGCTTTAGTACATAGCCACAACTTTATAAGGCCCATATAAGTTTGCAATTGAGACTCCTAAGGGAGATTAACTGAATCAAAGCATCTTCCAACACTCCTGGCCATCCTCCCTTCTCACCCTTATTGGGTTTTGCTGATCCCCCCCCCACCCCACCCACACACTTTTCCCACTGGCACCACCACATATGTGGTACATAGCTCTGACCCTGTGAAACCTTATGGCCATGAACAAGAACTACTCACATGCATGATGTTATGTATATCAGTGTTTGCAGGATTGGGGTATATGTATTTATATAGATGTAGCATCTGTATTAATGTACTGACACATATATAAACTTACCAGAAAAATAAACAAAATTCGGCTACAAAATATTTTAATGCAAAATATTAAAAGTTCAGACTATGGTCTGGAACTCTAAGCTGACATATATTGATACCTCTTCCTAACATGCATATTTTTCCTTTACTATTTTTCCCCAAAGATACATTCCTAGGATTTGACTTTGCTGTTGGCCTGTTGTTCGTCTTTGATGCTCTGCTGTTGTACCTCCTCTATGAAAATGGAAGCTGCAGGCATAAAAACACTTATCAAAACTTTTAAAGGTAAAAGAATGAATAGGTAGAAACTGCAAAACTTCAAGACCAGCTAGATGTCTGTTGTTTTGTTAAGTTGCCCTCAATGTTTTACAATCTACGATTATCTCTGATCAAATGTTTCTACAAAGTACATTGAATGATGAGAATCTGCAACCTAATTCATAAATCACTGGAATATCACTGAAATAAGCTCATGTTTAGAACTTACCTTTGTAATTTTGTTTAGGAAAACAGTGCTTAAATGATCTAAGCCATCTCTTTACTACATATGACTGACAGCTTTTACAGCTGAGCATCATTTATGTTGTTCACTCAGATCTTTATCTGTGGTGTTTATACCAATTATTAATGCAACCACCAGGGAAAGCAGTGATATATTGTCCAGCTTGATAGAAGTTATTACCATCTGTCCCTCTCTCACCTCCACCAAAATAATCTTTGTTGAAAATCAGTGTCTATTCTGTTTTCCTTACTTCTTACGTGTGGTTATTCTGTCAACATAGAGGAACATATATTCAGCAGATGGAATCTGCAATTACTGTGTGAAGAATGTTTGTACCAGCATTTGCATCCACAATTACCACATTTATTCATGCAAACCATGCCTAAGTGCTGACCTCAGCTTCCACCTGCAACAATGGGTGACCTGCAAAGGTGCTATATTCTCACACTGTCATTGAATTCAGCTGGAACTGTGGGCGCTCACTAGCACATCTGAAAATCATGCCAGAAGCCAATATTGTGTTTACCATCTACTATTTCACTCCCCTCTCTCATCACTTTCCTCATCCTTGGACCTCCCCCAAGCCATGGCTCTTCACTCGCCTTTGTTTTCTCTGCCCCTGGTCCCACTGCTATACCTAGAGTAGCCTACCTCCTTCAGTACACTACCCACTTCCCACTCTTCCTTCAAGTCCCTCCATAAACATCACTCCTTTCAGTCAGCTTTTAGGCACTAACCCTCCATATACCTGATCTCAGGCCTCACCTTATCTGTTATTTGAATTCACATTGCATGTTCAACTCCCTGGCAGAAGCAGCGCTAGCCATTGAGGTTGCTAAGCAAGAATATTTTGCCTCCCCCTCATACTAATAAAAGTCCATGTTTATTATAATAATAATAAAAAGCAAATAAGGGGCTCCCTTGAGCTGCTCGGAGCCCTAAGCAATTGTTTGGTCTGCTTACGCCTAGCGCCAGCTCTGCTCCCTGGCCTCTCTAAAAATCCTGGGAACTAACAAGACATGTATTGAAAGAAAATAATCAGTTGCTTTGTTTTTATGTTGCATCTCTTTCCTGAACTGCATTTAATCTATTTAGATTGTTAATCCTTTGAGCAGAGAACTTGTCTCCTTTCCTGTCTGTAACATGTCATACATAATGATGGTGTCATATAAGATATGATTATTAATAATAATTTAAGGGGCAGTTTGTACCTTTTCTGCCACAGCTCTGTAGGGGGTGATGTGAGCCACATTGCCCCAGCAGAAACATCATGAATCAATTTCTCTCAGTGCTGCTCCATGCACAATCGCCATCATTGCCCTGGGAAGATGAACAATTAGAATGGAGGAAATTGCTCCTCTCAGTGCAACAGCCCCACTCCATGGGTGTGGAGAGGAGGTGGCCATTGGCTGTGCCTCATTTTCAGACTCCTGTTATCCGGCGGTGAGCAAGCATTCCCTCTATCATCCTTGTGCTGACACACTCTGAGGAGAAATTTCTTGGTGTTCCCTGTTGTAATAACTGGGCCTAAAGATTTACCCTAATTGTGAACTCAACTGTGAAATGTGAGTGAAAGTTTATAAAATGTCATAACCACCTATAAACAAAAAATGCTGAATGGAAAAGGTACAAAAAAACCCAGACAATGACTGAACTAGTCCAAACAAAAAGGCTTACGGATATAATTCAAGGGTTCATGACTGGTAAACAAGAACAGTGAGACAGTGAAAAATCAATTAACCAACATTGGTATATTAGAAATAGGCCTAATTGGTGGACAAAATAATGAGGGGGTGTCTCCCCTCCCTCTTGGAATCCTTAAAAACAAACACACACACACTTTGGGGTGCAAAGCTGGCTACCATGATGCCAGCTGAAGAAGACAAGAGAAGAGGAAGGAGCAAACTTTATCATCATGGCTGTCACCTCACCATCTCCTGGGACCCCAGACCATCATCATTCTAATCCTGAGAGATGTCCTGACCAGTCCAAAGAGAGGAACCCAGATGTCACCACCACTTCTACCGGCTCTGTGGCTGAATCCTGAACTCCTGTGATGTGAAATTTTGTCTCTGCCATGTGTCCTTTTCCTCCCTCACCTTATTTCTTCTCTTTACCATCTCTCTCCTTTTCCTTCTGTCTAGTAAGAGTCTGGCTTAGCTGCACAACACTGCATATTTTGCAACACTGCTGTAAGCCTGTGATCAGAAAGGCAGCTAAATGCAACATCCTAACCAGCCCAATACTAGTACAAGGTTGCCAGGTCTTGGAGTGGTAGATAAGACTGTTCTGTGCCTGTGTTTTTCCAGCAGTGAGGTTGCAAGTGAAAGTCAATGCCAGAGACAGATGCTCCATTTTTTAATCTTTGCTATTCTTTTCTTTCCCCTTTTGTGAAATGAATATGAAACCTTGTTAAAATAAAAGCCTTAATTTTATGTTTTAAATGTATCTTTAATAACAGGTTAAAAGGATTGTTAATGGTGTACCTTAGCAATGGTACTAAGCAGGCTGAGGTCTCTGTATACTGTGACAAGATGGCCAATGTTAGTATGGTGGGTCCTGCGCTTTTCTTGGTGGGGGGGGGGGGGGCTAAGATGCCACCTCTTGCCCCTGCTCTGGGGGTGCTGAGGGCCCTGTTAGTGGCCCCAGAAGGTGGTAGAGAAAGGAAGCAGGGGAGGGGTCTGGGTTTGCTCCTCACTCTGAGCCTCAGCCCCTCTCAACTACTGTAGGGGACAGGGCCGGCTCTAGGTTTTTTTGCCACCCCAAGCAAAAAAAAAAAAGCCTCTGAAAGCACAACTGCTGCCCCCAGAATGCCACCCCAAGCACATGCTTGGTTTGCTGGTACCTAGAGCTGGCCCTGGTGGGGGAAGGGAGTCTCCTTCCCTTGCTGGGGCAGGTTCTCCCTTACTTCAGTTTTTTGGTCTTTCAAATCTCACAATACCCACCTCCAAGTTCCAGTCCTCTCTCCTTCCTCCTCCTCCCTGACTGCCTGAGGCAGAGGATTTTATTAGGTTCCTGACAGGGCCTTAATTGACTGCAGGTGCTCCAATTAACCTGTAGCCACCCTCCTAGTCTACAGGGAACCACGCCTTAATTAGCCTAGGGCTTATATATTTTTCTCTCTACCACTCTGCCACTGCTCCCTGGCCTTCCTGTATCACAATACCAAACCCTGAACCTTGCTTAAAACTGTTTAATGAGGACAGTTTCATGGTCAAGTTAACATCTTTAACTCTTTGGACCCATATATTCCTTCTAAAGGGATAATACAACACCCTTCCACAGCCACAGATGAGTTGTGCACAGTCTGTCCCTAATAGTACAAAATGATATAGATCTAGTACCTAGATGCTACAACTATGCACACATTAGAAATGTGAGACACAGATTAGCCAGATATTGAATGGCATAAACAGAGGAATGGGATAGCACAGACTTATGGGAATAAGAAGCTTCCCAAGTATCTCTCTTTTTTGCCTACAGTAACTTCAGCCAGTCAGGTGACCAGCTTTTGAAGTGATGCTTTTCAATCAGTGATAAAACCTCATTTACATCCCTGATATTAAGATTGCCATATTTATGTTGGGGATGTCACGATCAAATGATGGATTTAATTCATCAGTGTTGAGGATGCTGTAATGTACAATACTTTGGGGAAATGCTGTTGAAAAGATTAAATGTATTCTTAAATCAGATGTTTTGGCTGCACCAGCTTCATAGATTTGGTACTTCTGATATAGAGTAGCTACCTGCAAAGAAAATGGCTTGGTAGATAAGTGGCAGTGAAGACAGCCATTTTGCTGCACTGGAAAGACAACGGCATTCCAACCGAGGCAGAATGGAGCGTGCTTATCCAAGATGGCTTTCTACAAAAGATTATATTCAGATAGGGAAATAGAGGGGTTTTGAGGGCATTTGGAAACCTTTGTATGGATTAAATTTCTAAAGCTGATGCCGTTACTCAGAATTTCAGGATGGGTGGCCATCCTAACTATATTGAGTGCTGGCATGAAGCAGTTTTATTTCTGGGATTCATTTCTGTTAATGGCATAAAATTATTACAAATGATACTTGAGAAAATCCACGTGTCCTTAATAAGGATACAGCAAACACATAATAGAATATAATGGATTGATCCAAATCTGCAAATTCAAAATTCTCACTGTGATGTTGGGGGAGGAAGCCATGATCAATTAGCAATGTAGGGCCTGATTCTCAGTTATATCAAGGCCCCTTTACACTGCTCTGACAAATTAAATTAAAGTCACACCCACTTTAAGGTCCCTTTACAATGCCAAAGCAATATAAAGCGACCTTAGTGTAAATGAGAATCAGGCTTGTTGGCTTTTAAAAGCTAAATGAAAAACCCAAAAGCCTTTAAAAAGTTAACATTTTTCTCACTGGTGACTCGTTAGATCATTTGAGACAAAAACTATACTGCCCACAATTTTGTAAAACTGCAATAAAAAATACTAAAGAAAAAAGTATGTGCATTTATATTTGAATGAACTACAGTAGAACCCTACTAATGTGCACTTAGTGATCGGTAAATCCACAACAAAATTTAATTTTCTAGTTTCCTGTTCACTGAAGCAGGGAACAGCAAAACACTAATGCATTGGCAAGGGTAGGGCCAATGCTGATTGCAGCTTAGTCCCCGAGGACAAATGGAAGAGCTCCACATAACCCTGTGGGTCTGCCCACAGTACAGTCATGGAAGCAGTGACAGCAGTTGGGTATACAGCTCTATTGCAGGGTTTGCCGGTGCACCCAGGAGCCAGCAGAGGTGACAAGGTATTCTCACACTGGCTCACTAGGAGAACGCTCATACACATTGCCTCCACTCCAGTGCTCACTAATCCTCATACACACTGGAGCTCCAGCCACATTTATGCATGTTAGGATTTCTGCTGTTCTACTGTATTTTTAAGGTGGAACTACACCTCTACCCCTATATAACGCGACCCGATATAACACGAATTCGGATATAATGCGGTATAGCAGTGCTTCGGGGGGGTGGGGCTGTGCACTCTGATGGATCAAAGCAAGTTCGATATAACACGGTTTCACCTATAATGAGGTAAGATTTTTTGGCTCCTGAGGACAGCGTTATATCGAGGTAGAGGTGTATTACATGGAGACAGACCTATGTGCTATCCTGTGTGGCTCTCTTGACTTTGCCTTTTCACTTCCTGAAAGAGTCCAAGTCTCCATTCCTGTTGGATGCTTTTAGTCACATACCATCCTACTATTGCTTGACAACATCACAGTGTAAATTGTCTCTACAGATTTGATTTTCTACAGTCTCTTCTGAGCTGCACATTCTTCTACAGTTCTCTGAACTGCACCTGGCTGAGGTTGGATGGCTGTAACACCCAGAGCTCACTGAACCACGGCTCCTGTCATACTAACTCGATGTCTGCATGTTTACACACAGATGATGGAGAACAGCCTGACAACGTGGTGCACTGAGTCTGAGTGGCTGAGGCTTTGCACACTTTACAGTCAGCTTTTGCAGGACAAGAGCCAAAGAGAAAATCTCCCAGATCACAGTGCACATCACGTCACTTGTTAGGTCCCAAAGTCAAAGTGGAAACAAGTACCACAGCCTACCTGATTGGCTGCTGTAAATATGAATGAGCAATCATCAGACTTGATACATAAGGTGACACATCATCATGATGATATCACAAGACTATCCACTATGTTTAAAACTTTCCAAGCGATCAACTGATTCATGTACAAATCCAATTTCAATTGCATATTCGTTCCATCCCTAGAGAGAAAACTTCTCACCTTACTTCACATAAAGCACTGGATCAGTATTCATTATTTATGAGAAACAAAATCACCATTTCATGCATTAAAGATAATCTGTTAGATTCTTCCGTTGCTGTTTTACATATGTAAAGGTGCTCAGAGTTAGAAAACCAAACTGAGCCTTCTTTCATTTCAAGGTTACTTTTTAAAATTCAGGGCCAAATCCTCAGCTGGTGTTAATTGGCATAGCATCACTGACTTCAGTGGAGCTGCACTGATTTCCACCAACCAGGGATATGGCCCACAACTTTAGTTGTGTACAATATTTTAAACATATGGCCCAATGCTTCCTTCACCTATGCAGGCGGAGAAAGCAAAAGCAAGCAAAAAAAGGCCAGGGAGAGTCAAAGATATGGAACAGCAACCCCACTGCATGCTTGCTCCCTGGCAACTCACAGATTCCCCTCTGCCAACATTTCATGAGAGGAATAACAAGGGCAAGAGGGGGGCAAAGCTAAGGAACAGATAGCCATGCACTTATATAGGCAGGAATAATAGAGTTTTATACACACTTTGCACTGACATAAATGACAACGTAAGATTGTGATGGTCTATATCAGAGGTGGACAAACTATGGCCCGCGGGACCCTCCTGCCCGGCCCCTGAGCGCCTGCTCCAGAAGGCTAGCCCCTGGCCCCTCCCCTGCTTTTCCCCTCCCCCACAGCCTCAGCTCACTTCCCCGCCGGCGCAATGCTCTGGGCGGAGGGGCTGCAAGCTCCTGGGGCAGCGCAGCTGCAGAGCCGGGGCCTGACCCGGTGCTCTGTGCTGCGCGGTGGCGTGGCTGCCTCCAACCGGGCGGTGTGGCTGCCTGTCCTGGTTCTTTGGGCGGCACGGCTGTAGCACCACCAGCCACCGGTGCTCCAGACAGTGCGGT